TTTATTTCTGCGGAAAGTTCAATAGGCGAGTTGCTCTTGTGCAGGGTTGCCTTCCTTTGAGCATTGGTTTTGGGCGCAGTTGGTACCATCTGTGTGTGATTGTGATGGATGTGTAGGAGCGCATCGAAAAGGAGGGAGAGCCTTCAGTTCGATCTGGGAACTGGTTTTGGGCCCAGTTGGTACTGCTTTTGGTATAGGCAGAGAGTCTTCACCTGATGCTGGCTTCGGAAGGGTGCCAAATGCCTCCCTCCCAAAATACAGATGGTTGCAATTTTGCGAGCGTTGTGCAGCGGCGGGCGGGGTTCTCGTGTGCTGAGTGTTGAGACGTTCTGCGGAACCTTTGGACAGTTGGCGAAATCCTGTCATCGCCTTGCATGTAGATTAGTACGGAGTCTAGGGACACACGAATCGCTTGACAATGCTCCTCTTTCCAAGTGTTTGCGTGTAGGGGGCACTTCAACCACATTAGCTGTAAGGTTAAAAGTTAAACCCATGGTAATCATCTGTCCACGCATTCAGCAATAGACACAAGACGTAAACGTGAACGGGGCCTGGCAATGTTCCTCTTGCCAAGAGTTAGTGTGTAGGCGCTTTAAAGCACCAGCACACCACACTTTTGGCCCGGGGGTGTCAGCAGGAAACCCGCACCGCTTCCGAGGCCGCCGACTTTCTTTCTTCGACAGCACCCCTGGCTGCAAGGCGTGTCCGAGTTTTGCTTTTGGCGACAAAAACACTTTCTGCAAGGCTGGGGCCGTGTACTAGCGCGGTTTAACCACAGTAACTGCTAAGGTCAAAAGACTCAAAACTACGGTAACCATCTGTCCATGCATTCAGCAAGGGACACACGAATGGCCTGACAACATTCCTTGTGCCGAGAGTTGGTGTCTAGTCCGCTTTAACCACGGTAGCTGTAAAGGTTAAAACCACACTAGCCATCTGTCCATACATTCAGCAATCGGCATGAGACGTACACGCGAATGGCCTGACAATGTTCCTCGTGCCGAGAGTTGGTGTCTAGCCCGCTTTAACCACGGTAGCTGTAACGGTTAAAACCA